CCACCTCCCGCACTGTCCATCGAACCCCGAGCTAAGCCAAAAGCGATCGAGTCCACATCAGAGCAACCGACTCCTGTCCTTCCCATGTCTCAGAGACTCTGGGATGCTGCGTACAACAGCCTCGCGGAGGACAAGGATACCGCAAAGCTTGTCGAGTCGTACATGGAAACCCTGAACAAAGTTCTAGGGGACAGGACTGTTGAACCCGCCGTCGACGTTTCCTCAACACTGAAAGACCCGAGCCAGCGGCAGGCGCACATGAGAAAGCTGGTAGAGGAAGGCCAAGCAAAAATTGCCAAGCTGTTGAAGATTACGCAGGGAGTCGGTGATGCCGCCCAATTCGTTCTCTCAGCCAAGGCCATGGTCGACCTGGCGATCCAGAACATACCGCAAGCAGCGCTGCCGTGGGCTGGTGTCTGCATTGGACTGCAGGTACGTATCTGTACACGGCCGCCCAATAGTTGTCTTGGTTAACCTCCATCCAGATCCTGCTGAATCCTGTTGAAGCAATAGAGTCCAACCTGGCGGGCATCACGCATGTTATCTCCCGGATGGACTGGTATTGCGCCTTGACCGAACATATCCTAAGCCAGAACAACATTGTGGTAGGGAAGGAGAGCTTCAAGTCTGTCCAGCTTCAGTTGGAAAACAGGATCGTTGAGCTCTACAAGGCTCTCCTTCTGTATCAGATGAAGAGCGTTTGCTCTTTCTACCGGCGTCAAACCTGGATCGTTCTCCGTGGCCTTGCGAAGGTCGACGACTGGGATGCCTATCTGAAGAGCGTCAAAGACATCGAGGCAACTCTTCAGACCGATTTGAATCAGTTCAGCAGTCAGCATACCAAGAGCCTCCTTGGGAAGCTTGTCGAGAAAGCGGAAGATAGGAAAGCGCAACTTGGAGACATTCATCAAGCTCTTCAAAGCAGTATTGCTGTGCAAAAGGAGACCCACAGAGCTGTCCGGGATAGCAACACTCTGCGCAAGGAGATTTACCAAGATGAGAAGGATACGCAATGCCTCCAGGCCCTCTACCTGACTGATCCGCGCAAGGACAAGAAGCGCATCGAGGACACGAAAGGCGGCCTGTTACAAGACGTGTATCACTGGGTCTTTGACAACTATGAATTCCAACAATGGCGCAATAGCCTGGACAGCAACCTGCTTTGGATCAAGGGCGATCCCGGCAAGGGCAAGACAATGTTACTCTGCGGTATTATCGACGAACTGCAGGGATCGACTCTGGGAACAGGCCCTCTATTATTCTTCTTCTGCCAGGCCATCGACGAGCGGATCAACAATGCCTCCGCCATCCTACGCGGCCTCATCTACATACTCCTCGACCAGCAGCCGTCCCTTATCCCTCACGTGCGGAAAGAGTACGAGCATGCAGGAAAAGCACTCTTCGAAGATGCTAATCGATGGGTTGCTTTATCCGAGATCTTCAAAAACATTCTGCAAGACCCAAGCCTGGAGGGCGCCTACCTGGTCATCGATGCGCTCGACGAATGCATAAGCGGTCGGCGAGAACTTCTCAAATTTATCGTTGAGATGACATCTACAGTTCCTCATGTAAAGTGGATCGTCTCCAGTCGCAACTGGCCAGACATCGAGGAAAGTCTAGAAGCCGCTGAACAGAAGACAAGGCTCAGTCTCGAGCTAAACGAAGAGTCCGTCTCGTCTGCTGTCAGCATATATATTCAGCACAAGGTGGATGAACTAGCGCAGCTAAAGGGATACGACGACAAAACACAGCACGCTGTTCAAGTCCACTTGACCCGCAATGCAAAAAACACATTCCTCTGGGTGGCTTTGGTCTGTCAAGAACTCAGGAAGTACTCAAGGTCAAGGGTTCTCACCAAGTTGAACACGTTTCCACCTGATCTTGGTTCTCTCTACCATCGAATGATGGCTCAAGTTTGCCGCTCGGATGAGGCAGATCTCTGCAAACAAGTGCTGGCTGTCCTCTGCAGTACTTACCGGCCTATTACGATACAAGAGCTGACGTCATTCATCGACATTTCCGAGAGCATCTCTGACGATTTAGAATTCTTGACAGAGATAATAGGACTCTGCGGCTCTTTCCTGACACTTCGAGAATCCATCATCTATTTCGTGCATCAATCGGCAAAGGAATTTCTGTTGAAAGACGCAGTGGACGAGATTTTCCCTTCTGGTATGGCAGTCTTACACTACGGCATCTTCACTCAATCGTTACATGTCATGTCCATGGCCTTACGACACGACATATACGGCCTGGCTACCCCTGGATTTCCCATCAAAAATGTCAACCCGCCTGACCTGGACCTGTTAGCAGCCACACGCTATGCTTGCGTCTACTGGGTTGATCATCTCTACGATTGGCAATCGAGCAAGAATACCAATCACCTAGATGTGTTCCAGGATGGCGGTGTCATCGATGACTTTCTGAGGCAGCACTATCTCCACTGGCTCGAAGCTCTCGCACTTTGCAGGAGCATGTCGCAGGGAGTATTGTCAATGGCCAAGCTCGAGAGCATTCTTCAGGTTGGTTCTGCCTGGTGATATTTATCCTTTCACTTAGCGCTTCTAACATCACTTAGCAAAAGAACGTTGCATCACAATTAACAAGGCTGGTTTATGACATGCGCCGATTTGTTCAATACTGCAGTCAGCTAGTTGAAAACTATCCACTTCAGGTATACGCTTCAGCAATTGCGTTCAGCCCTGCCAGAAGCATGACACGAAATCTATTCAAGAGGGAATTGAGGTGGATTACTGCCGGGCCGGTTGTAGAAGAAGATTGGAATGCATGCACACAGACGCTCGAGGGGCATAGCGGTTCGGTC